GTCGCCGTCGCCGCACATGGTGCAGAAGCTGGCGTCGAGGTCGAGCGCCCCCGCGGGCCAGCTGGTCGAGGCGTTGGGAGACGCGCACGAGATGCGTGCAGGGAGGAGTCCGATCGGTGGCGGGAATGCTGAGCTGACGTTGTTGGTGTGTATGGCGTTGAGGAAGGTTGCTAGCTTGGCGAACGAGCGTGCTGCGACGTAATTGGAGGTGTATATAGCCACTTTGACGTCGGAGTAGGTAATCAAATCCGTGGAGCCGTTGGAGGATATGGGGATTGGTGTCTCCTTGACATGTTCGAGTATCGAGTCGACGCGTGTCCGAATGTCGCCCGCGCTCATGTCATAGGGTCGCCATATGGCACACTTCTGTCCCACTTCGTAGCATCGCTCAAAGAAGGTGGACCATCCCTCTTCGAAATCGGAGAGAACGTTCTTCATCCACTTCCCTACGTAGTCATCTGCGTCCATGTTTCCATCCAGAAGCATCTTTCCCACATGCCCCGGGTACATGCTGGCGAACGTGTTGCCCAGGAAGGTCCCGTACGAGAAGCCAAGATATTGAAGTTGTGCTTTGGAGCCTCGTGACCGAAGCGGCATTTGCTGCTTGTGAGCGTCATCAATCCCGTGTGCACGGCTGCTTTGACTGTCTTCCTCTACCGCTTGATTCCTCGTCACAAGTTCCAGCATATCTCGCGCGGTATATGCAGTGGTCATGTATGCTCGGATGTTGTCACCACTGCCGTCATAGCTGGCAGCTCCGGCACAGAGAGCGCCACGCCCCTTTGCATTAGCGAACTGCATCTTGATTGCTTCAGGTCCCGTGTCAAGATGGCCCACAACCCGCTGTTTGAGCTCCCAGACCGCATGGTCAAGATAATTGTCGAAGCAGTGAGAGGTAGGGGTGGAGAAGCCAACACCCCTGGGATCAAAGGAGATAACGTCAAAGCTTTTCTCACCGTCAATCAATTCCCGTATCCATTGGCCTGCATGAAGTATAGTTTGGACACCTGAGCCTCCTGGAGAGGAATCAATAAGATAAGAGCTGGATTACCATGGTACCTTACCTGGGCCTCCAGGGTTAACGACAACGGCTCCGCCGTACAATGACCCTCTGCTACGACTTGTGCTTCTAGAGCGAGCTCTTCTTTGACCATCGATAAGGGTTCTTGCAGGTAGCTTGATGATAGCAATTGCAACTTTGTTTAGATTCGAAGCATTCTGCCAGTCTAATGGAACGAGAAGACGTGCACATTTAAAACGCGTATTGACCTCCACCGGTTCATGAGGCTCTGAATCATTGGCAGGAAGCAAAGCATCGATCTCTTCCTCATGAATCGTATATGGATAACAATCTTGGTAGACAAGATCCTCCGAAGGTGTTATACTAGACCATTGGAACGAACTATCCGGCCGAACCGAATGGGAATGAGGAGGGAAAAATGCAGTGGCATATTGTATGCAATGTTGCAACAACCAAAGATAAGTCAAGACCAGAACTCGGTTTGTCGCAGGTGCCATACCCTACTGATCACTTTGATCGGAGATACGAAGAGAGAGGTAATTGATTGATCATCAAGGTTATCAACCAGGTAGAATCACGTCGCTCTGTGTATAAGTATTCTCCAGGCCCGATGAGGATCAGTAGTCCTCTAGGCGCATCCCTGATCACCGAACGAGACGTTCTGATAAGCAGCAAGTCAAGATGACAGAGCACTTGTTGATGAAGGGTGAATACTGACCACCCGCAACGTCAGCCCTAGGCTGCAGCAGGGTACTACTGGCTATCGGTACGTTCCTGTTCGAACTGCTCTGTAGAATGCATGGAAAGCAGGTTGTATTATCTATTAAGGAGCAATGAGCGTTGTGCGTAGATACGTACAACATACGGAGTAGGCTGCACAGCACTGTGAAATTATAGCAGAGATTAGCCAATCAAATGCAGGCAAACTGCAAGGATGAACGCAGCATAACTGGCCAATAGACGCTCACACAGGTTGACAATCCAAACTACTCTGATAAGTTTTGACATTTGTAGGCGAAGATCACGGCACTCGTCAAAGAAATGACCACTCCAAGTCGGGATTGGACTATCAGATTAGGCAAGATCATGTAGAGGAGGGCTCGCCAGTCCGCCTGTCAAGGAGGGTGTCCTTGTATGCACTTATTGTACGGTATCACGGCATCACGGCATCACGGTATCACGGTATCAATGCGGTTACAGCATGTCGAACGGCGGGAGCGCTCATTGGTTGGATTTTCTACGCGAAACCCTACGTCTCGCCTGTCTTTGATTGGTCAATTTCTACTGCAATTTTGCAGCTAATTTTCTGCGCCTGGCTCAGCCTTTGAGAGAGAACAGAGCCGTTTCTTCATCCTACTCGACGCAACACCTTGGGTCTTAATTGCCAAGTAAAGAAGAGTCTGCCCCGAGCTCACCCTCGGTCAGGGCCTAGGGTGATGCCGCTCTTACTCAACCCGGTCTCACCCTGACCGGGGGTGGGACTCAGCTGGCGGCTCTGTCAGCTCTAGCATCATCAACGTGTCCATTCCGTTTCATTCCGTTTCATGGCCCGTCGCAATCTCCATGCATGGATATAACTTTACAATTGCGAGAGCATTAGGGGCCTGCAGGCGGCGAAGGAGGACCTATCGAACCACGACTCCGAGCCATCTCCATCACCTTCCTCCACCCAGACTCCAGAACCCGAAGACCAAACCCTCCCACAAATGGATACCACACGAACAGCGCCACAATCTGGCCGACGCCCCATTGGTTGTCGTCCCACGTTGTAGTCGTGCTTGTTGTATTCCCCACTTTAGCAACAACCCTCGCTTGCCACTGGCCGTACACCTTGCGGAAGTGGAATAGACGGAATATGCATGTGACGCCGGAGATAGTGATGGCGAGGTAGAGTAGTCGAAGTAAAATGCGGCCTAGGAATTTGGTAGCGGCTTTGAGGGACTTCGAGATATCAGAACGTTGCTTGGAATTTTTCCATATCTTCTTTAAAGGTTTGTGGTTTCTGGGGTGTTGGACGAGGGTATCGTGACACAGCTTCGAGATACTCATGGATGCTTTCTCGAAGCGAGTTTTCTCGTACATCAAGTCAAGGCATTTAACGATGAAGTCCCGGAGCTTCGGATGACGGAGATAAATTCTGTGGAAGCTGTGGACGAGCCAGTAAGCTAGGAATACTGCGAGCGAGGACATGAGCAGTATGTGAATTCTGTCGGTACTCAGAAATGGCACCAGGAATTCTTTTTGCATATACTCTATGCCCGGGCAGTCAGCGCCAAGTGTCTGATAGAACGGGAGGACCTCGGCTGCGATTTTATGCTCAACGTGAGGGTAGGACACTGCAAAAACAGAGACAAACATTGCAAAAGTGGGAAGAGTGGCCAGGAAGCGGACCGTTGGGTGTGGAAGGTGCCTCCCAATGATGGTGTATGTGATGATGACGGCGCCGAAGCTGATTGAAGCAGCGAAATTGAGGGAGATGTACTGGAAGATGACGACATCGGGCCTAGAGGACCAGTAGACGGCAGTGCAGACGAGGGAGGTTGAGAACGTGAGAGACGTGTCGTAGAAGCATTGGTATAGGATTTAATGGAGTCTGAGACTTCGATCTTGGACTCAGAGGAAGGGAACAGATGATGAAGGCAATTGATGGCTATTTGGGCACACCCGAGGTATCGAGCAAGATAGCGAAGGAGGCGTGTGAGGAGGTAGAGCACGACTAGGCTGAGGATCAAGCTGGCCTGGACGGCGTATGACAAAGTGACCTAGATGACACGAATAAGGAAGGTTGGCTGGAAAGTTGCTTATGGATGACCTTACTCCAATTCCAGTAATGTCGGGATTTCCGGATCCTAAAGGCATGAGACAAACGCGAGGACATTGCATGAATGCATCGCGGAAGTCCTGGCCCTCAGGTCCCTTCACGTTCTGCCTCGTCACCTCTGGGTAGTTTGCACTGTACCTGTTGAAAGCTTCAGTAGCTGTAGCTATGCTGATGATGTTGTCACAAACGATAAAGGAGGAAGCTGGGGGACGAGATTGGGTTTCATTGGGGCCCGAAGGCTGCGAGTGGGAGATGAGACGGAGAGCAAAGGCATACAGCAGAGATGAGAGCGGCGAGACTTTCATCTTGGCTTCTGCGATTGAGAAGCGAAAGACGGCTGCAGGCACGATGCTTTTCAAGTGCCGAAATAAGGAATCACTTACACCAAGTTCGCCAAAAAGGACATGTGGACAAAAGGGGGCAAAACCGGAAAACTCCTTCTCACTGTCACACCGACAATTCATTCTCCGTAGGTGGAAAGATGATGTGGTTGCATTTGGTTGGGCAAAGCTTCCCAGTGTAGAGCAATGGCGACAAGGCTGAAAGTAGTGGCAGCCTCATTGAGGGGGGCGCCGCTTCCTTTCCTCAAACATGGGACGATATCGAAATATATGAGTACCGACTAGTGAAAGAACAAGATCTGCAAGGAGCCTTAGGGTCGAGTATAAGATTTGAGATGCAGGAACAGGTTTTGTTGCCCTGCGCCAGATTGAGGCGTCCTGCTATCGCGTAGACGCAGGCTGGATGCTTTTCAAGAGTAATCGAGCCCACCTCCCAACCGTACTACACTGCACGAGAAGACAGTTTTTTCCCCTTTCTGACGAATGAAGTCAAATGTGGCAAACAAGCTCTCGACCTCGCAGACCGGACTAACGCCATCAGCATGATCATTGCTCTGAGGGGCGTGGTTGAGCTATTCCGAAAGGCCAGGCGTCTGACAGATGTTCATCGCAAACTCCTCGCATTTTCCATTTCTCACGACCATAGTATTGTGCGCTTATATGCCCACTACCCTGAGATTGATGGGGACAAAACATCTATTTTCCGCTATAAGATCAAGCAATTTGACTACAGCGACGAGAGATGGACATGTTACACATTCACACGCAACATTTACGATAAATTTGTTCCGGTTTACCTTGAACTAATCACAAATGCGATAGATCTGCTCCCGGATCCTATTGCAGAGTCATTCAACTCAGCTATCGCCCCGGACGATGAAACAGCTCCGAGTCCACAAGAGTATGCCTCAAGTGCACCTGGATCCAGAGAAGGTGAATTCAGCAAACCGCGACAGGCCAGGGGCCTTAAAGCAGAGCTTACAGCAGGAGTTGAAACAACAGCGGAAAGAGGCAGAACTACAGCGCAAAGAGGTCAAACAACGCGAGACAGCCCTTATGACGCAGCTAGAACAACAGCGGAAGGAGTTTGAGCAACAGCGGAATGAGCTCATGCAGTTGATCCAGCAGCAGGGCGAACATCTGAATCAGCTCTTGAGCAAGCACTAAATAAAGAGCTGTATGGTCTAGGTAGCCCTCTGACATAAAGATTGCGTCCAATAGATAATTATAGGCCTAACTTAAGTAATGAGGAGAGTAGAGAAAGCAAGAAGATAAGTGAGTGAGGAGACAGATTTCAGGAGCTGCAAGTAGATTATCTTTCTTAGCAAGTCTAAGTGCTAAAGAATATAAAGGTAGTACTCTAACTAAATAATTAGGCAGAAAGGAAAGGAGGAAGAGAGGAAGAGAGAGAAAGTATAACAGAAAAGGGGAAGAAGTCTTACTATCCACCACCACTCTGTCATAAAATGACGGTATTTATCATTTGGCTCAAATATCCGCCACAGACGCGAGGTACGCTGCAGGCGCAACTTTAAAAGGCTTAAGGTTGGAATGGTACTTATTCATTGGTAGATATTCACGTGAAATACCTTGGCTGCGGATATTTGAGCCAATGATAAATACCGTCATTTTATGACAGAGTGGTGGATAGAAAGACCCCCCTCCCTCTTGATTGAACAGGATAGCGCTGAACGGCTATATTAGAGACCATTGATAAGAGACTATCGTGAGACAGATCGTGCAGCGCCCACCTACGAATCACCCGGGCAAGCGGAGCGCTGGGTGAGCTGGTGATAAAGCGGCGGCGAGAGGGTGAGGGTCGAGGTAAGTGCGGAACAGATTTTTCTTCACTTGTGCTGCCAAGTATCTAGGGATAGACGTCGTTGTACTACGGTCGCCTACAATGACCTACGGGTGCCCACAAAGCCTCGCGGCAGGCACCCTTTACATAGGGGCTGGTAAGAGTAGATAGAGACTCTACAACTACAGTACTGCCCGTTCCAAAAGTGTTGCAATAAACGGGCGTTGACCTCTTTTCTTTGTGTCTACTATATCCCCCTTCCAAATGAGATAGCTGTTGACTGCGCAGATATCGAGAATATAGTACCATAAGGGGCGCCAAACGCGACGTTCGTAAGGTCTGTGAGCCGTGAAGTTCTTCCGTAATTGATTACTTCGATCAACGCCATTCATATAGTGATTATAGTCGTCAATAGCGCGAGGAATATAGAGCCATTTGAAGGGTAAGTTGCCGAATACAGGGCGAACGATTCGAGCGTTTGTCGACGTAGGAGAAGGTCGTCTTCGAAGTCGTAAAACTGTGTCGTTTTGAAGATTATAAGCAGTTGTGCAGCCTATAACAGCGTTATTATCTTGCCATAAAAAAACAAGCGTGTTATTAACGACTTCTGCAAGCATAGAATTCCAAACAAGGCCACGGTTATACTCCTTTAGCTTTAGAATCCATGCAGGGACTCCTTGAGCGTTTTTGCGAGTAGTGCCTGTACAGCAAATACGAAGAGCAAGTAGCGATTGAGCAACGTTGACATTCAGAAAGAGGTTATCCAAAAAGAAGCAAAAAACGCGCGTTGAATGAATTTGACGTAAACGCTGTGCAAGTCGAATAACAAGCGCAAATGTTGGTGCTAGATGTACCGTAGTAAGCTCCGTAAGCTCTTTTTCGATAACTCGATCGAATTCTATACCCTCTTGAGGGATATCCTCTGGTCCTTCGATACGACTATGCCATAGCCAATCGTATACGTATCCAGCGTCGCCAAGTACCCACACCTTATAGCCCTCCTTGATTGGCTTATTCGGGAGCTTGACCTTATGAGTACTGCGGCCTCTATAGGCTAGCATAGCCTCATCAATAGCCAAATGAGAGCTTGGATACCAATTCTCCTTGCAATTTTGCTTGATAATAGACCCAATTGGTTCTACTTGCCAAGCAAAAGTTTCATGCTCTTGACGAGGAGCAGTCGTACGGTCTCGAAGCGTAAAATATCGATGAATCTGCTCATATCTTATGCAGCAAATTCCCACCGGCGCGTGGGATAGCGCATCCTTCTATATCTCTAGCTCAACAAATGACTAGAGAAAAGGAGAAAGAGCTCGCTAAAAAGCTACAGCCTCTGTTAACTCTACAAGCAGCGTTAACAGCAAGTTTAGCGTCAGCTAGGGGGTTGATACTCAACCTCAATCTTTCTGGCAGCGCTTAACAGCAGGATACTATGCTCCGCGAGTCTGCTGACGATAAGGATCGATATAGAGGTTTAGCGACGCTGTCAAGGGCTATGACGCCTCTACAGCCTCTTGTGACGCCGAGCAGCCTGATTCCACAGGCTAGAGATGAAGATGCTCGCCTCACCGCGTTCATTTGCTCGCGAATCAAGGATAGACCGGCTCAACGAGCTGAATTCGAACGAGCATTCAAGAAGTTGGCCGAGCATGGCGTAGGGCTCTCGGATATGGCCTCTTTAGCAAGAGAAGACTAGAAGGAGATGGGTATTGGCTACGGCATTCGCATGGATTTGCTGCGGCACAACAAGATATAATATTAACGTTATCCGGAGAGCGTTAAGGAGGCTGATAGCACTCTTTATAATGGATTTGAGTATTTGTAGTTATTTAAGATTAATAATAGTGACTGAATTCTCTTAAATAGCCCTTATTTAATACTCAAAATATAAATAAACATTAAGATGTATATTAAGATTTCATATATTATTATTTATTTTAGTAAGCTTATAAACAAAATTAGTTACTAGCGTATAAATAGATTACTAACTTATACAGGAGCTTACGAAAATTAATTCTAAAATGTCACTTAATTTAGAAATTTATACTAAGACTTGCTAAGACCTTCCTTTCAGCTATATAACGCGGTTCTATATTAGAATTTAAGAGATAACCTAGTTTTGCTTTTTAATAATTACTATATAATAACAAATTATATAGCGATGATAATAGTATTATTTGAAAGCGCATTTAGAGTACTCCCTTTAAGCTAGTCTGATACCTCCTTAATAGTATTATAAGGCACGTCAATAGTAGTTTTATTAACCTTAAAAAAGCAATATTGAAAATATGCTTTTGCATACCTCTTAACACCACACTGTTAAATAGTAAAATGAAAAAAGCCCTTAAACCACTCATCAAAGCTATCTGCTAGCTCTTAATGCCCCTTTATCTATGCTTTTAGTAGGGAGAACAACAATTTGATAGGATTGAAATCAGAAGAGTATAAAAGAAGGAATATTAATAGAACGCCTCTCTCTGCACACATATCCTGAAGCTCTTAAACGTTATTATCAGTATTAACGCTAAATAAAGCTATTTTAAGCCCTACCTAGCTATAATAGGCGTTATAGTTATTCATAATTAGTACTAAACGTGGCCTAGGATACAGATTCATTTTTAGTAATAATTTTTGAATAAAGTTATTAAATCTCTTAGTATTAAAGCTATTATAATATATCTTATAATTAAGATAACTATTAATACTTATTACAAAGCAAATACTCTATCTCCTTAAGTACCTATGTGATATAATAACTCTATATAGTATGCCGCGTTTTAACTAGCCTCTTTAACAGTCTTTTATACGCTTATTTACAACTGTTTCGTCAACAAAAATGGCCTGTTCAGCACATATTTCGGCTATTCGAGCTCGATAGAAGGCCTGTAAATCTTCGTCTTGTTCAGCAGCACATTTTTCGACCTACAAAGTAAGTTCTAAATCATCTCAAAATGGCCGTATACTAACTGCTTTTCTCGTTATATCGTTAGCAGCAAGAGCTTGAGAAACCGTCTGCTTTAATACGTTGATATTATACTCCTCATCAAGAAAATAACACATCTTATCAAGATACGCGGTCTTGTGCTCCTCTCCGTTATCAAGTACCCAGTCAAGGAGGCCTTCTAACGCTTCTGCCGTGATTTTTCGAGGCCTACCCTGAACTGATACAGGCGCAGGCCGTGGATCTCCGAATACAGCGATATTCCGCTTAATTCTGCCTACCGTTGAAGCGTGGCAACGATAGATTTGAGCTATTTCTCGAGGTTCTACATCAGTAGCAAGCAACAGGGCCATATTCTCGACCGCAGCCCGCGAGAAACGTAGATTACTCATCGCCAAACGCAACACCAAGCTCAAAAAGCAATATAGGGCCAAATCGGGATAATAGCGAGCTTCATGAGCATTTACAAGCAAAATCTACGTCTATTTACCACGCAGTTGGCGATTCCGCCTTTTGACCGCTTTTTTGCCCCGCCAGCACAGCAATTTTTGGGTCGCGCCAAGGAATTGCAACACTTTTGGAACGGGCAGTACT